CGTCCAAAACCCCGGCGTGACTCTGAATAGGATCTTGGAGATTAAAGCCCTGGGCTTCTCTGGTCCTCTGATTCACGTAGGAACCTGATAGAGTTTGTTTTGGGTGCGCGCGAGAGAGGGAGAGAGAGAGAGAGGAAGATAAGGTAGCGTATGAAAGAAAGACGAAGAAAGAGTCGGCGTGTGTATCGTATCGATTAAACGTAAGTTCAGTCCAGCGCTCGCGTCACTGGCTTTAATAATAGAGAGGAAGAAGTGCGGTCAGTTCGAAAAGGCTCCGTGACACATCGATCCATCACCTTATTCATTTCGGGCCGATACTCGGGTCATGAAACGAATTCGGAACAGGCCCCATTGTCCTTTATGGCATTCTCAAAGGAAGTCCAGAACTTTATATTTCACGTGAACTCAAGATGGGTTGATACTGCCACGTCGGGGACGGTACATTGAAAAATTGCTCGGGCTGACTTGGTACAAGAGGAGTGTCCTGGCGTGGACTCCGTGCACGTTTCCAGCTTTTCGCATAAATCCGCCAAATGGAATGTCCCTTCGTTGCTACTCCTTTTCCTCGTCTTCCCACCTCGTCTATTTTCCCTTCGTCATTCGGCATCCCGTCTCTCGATCCTCGCCGCGGAGACAGAGGATCGTAACGTTGATCCCCGAAAGTCCTGTAATACCACGAAGATCACGTGTCGTCTCGGGAAATCCATGTCGTAAACTAGAAAAAGGGATGATCCGGTAAAAACGTTGAGAGTCGATGAATGATAATTGAAAGTTGAAGCATGGACCAGGGAGAGCGATCTCGACCGTAGGAGATTGTTCGACGAAGTGGCGGCAGGTCATTAACGGGGAAAAAAAGAAAGAAGAACGACGGGAAGCTGTCTGCGCGTACCTCGCGTCGTAGAAGCTCCGAGTGCCTCGTGAACGAGTGGAAAAATTTCGCGAGAACCGAACGACTCGTCGCGGCGATTCATACGAATAGGAGAGGATGATCGCGTTTTATCGCGCCAAGTTAGATTAAAAACTCGACGGTGAAAAACTCGGCTGTTTCCGTAGCGGCCGCGTGGCTTTACGTACCTAACCTACTGGCAGAGTCATGAGCCTTGGAAAATACGTGAAAAAAGTTATCCGAGCCGTGACAAAAGGTCCTACGACATCGTTGGTTACTTTTTGGCCAGTTAACGCGAAACATTTCACCAGGGTCCCATCTTCGCTCCTGCAACGTGCTTCGAGTTTCCTGGGAAGGACTGGCGTTCCCGTCCCGGGGCACGTCGCGACCAAAAAAAAGGGAATCGAGGGAAAGAAAAAAAGGGGTGGTGGATACACAGAGTCATTAGATTTTGGAAAACAAGAGTTTAGGGAAGCTTTAAGGAACCGCCAATAGGGAATCGACGGCTGGGCAAATCAGCATAAACTTAATTACCCACTCGGCCCCACTTTCCTTCCTTGAGCCAGTCATCCCCCCAGCCGCCCCCCGACGCCACCCTTTTTACCAGCTAGGCTGCCAGCCAGCCGGTAAGACGCCAGTGATGTAGGACCGGGGGCGGGTGGAGCGCGGGGCGGAGGGGGGGATGATTCGCGCGGCTCTGCGGGGGCTACGAGGGGCGACTCCGGTAGTGTGTATTGATCGACCGAGCGTCGTCCCGACGCCGCCGACGCCACCGGCCCTGCTACCCTACCTTCCGCACTATACGACGCGCCCACGTCGTGACGTGCACTTTTATTCTACCCACCTCCTCACCGCACTCGCTCTCTTGTTCGCCTAATCTCTTCTGGCTAGATCGAAGACACCCCTTTCTGTCACCTTCCGAACTCATCAAACTTTCTTTGAAATTTCGGCATGATCCGTCCCCGGCTATATCGATCGGCACGCTCGATCCTAGATCTATGTTCCCGTTATTCTGCCTCAATGACAGTATTTCCCTTTATAGTCTCAAAGTAAATGCATACCTTGAGTCTCGTCCTTGTTTTTTTTTTCCTTTCTTTTTTCCTTTTCCTTTGGTGAGCTCGAAGGGTCGTGCCACGACTCCAGTCTGCTCGGCTTAAAAGCACCGATTCTCCCCGCGTCTGGCAACCCTCCAACATGTGTGGTTAGTAACCCACATACTTTGCATAGTGCCGCTATTACAGCGCCATCACGAACCGAATGCCAGCGTACAGTGTGTGCCACTCTATGCCAATGTATCTTCCATCTTGTCACGGCTGCTCGCTGCTTTCCCGTGAACCGAGTCAAGGTTTCCCTTTACTCGTGAAAACAATTACTGCCTCTGCCCTCCTATCTAGCCGTGAGAATTACTCGACGCTACAGAGGACGCGGCACTCTGTATCTCGAGTATCGCAAAATTATTAGCATTCGCCAACTCTCACGGGAAAACGGAATTGCAAAGGAGTCTCGATACTTGTTTTGACTCTTTAAGCTCCCGGGCTATAGCGAGCGACTTCGTACCACACTGGTGGGATTGTTCGTATATACGCCGTACGAGAGAGGTGGGTGTTATGTGGCTTTTTTCTCTCTGCAACAACCTCGCGAGATATTACTATCGATAGGCTGATTTATTCATAACTAACCCCCTAATTATACAAGGGACCGTTTTATAGCTCGCGCGATGCCAGTCGACTGCTCCAACGCCTTTATAACGTTTAATCGCTATTAAGATCCAAATTCTATTCGTCCGGACAGCCACAGACCTCCCTGCATTAGCCTCGACTATCGTACGTGTCCTACCGCACTTCAATTATTACCTTCCAATGCTTTTCTATAACACTTCATCCACTTCGTAACACTCGTCTACGTACTCGAAAACTCTTCCGTACCGTCGCGCTTACCTCAAGGCGTTCTCGTTTAACGTGTCAACACGCAACTGGGTTACGAACGGTTTCACGAGGTGCTAACTGAACTATTTGCCTTACGGTACAATAGTCGTCTCTGCTTCCCGTTTGCCGTTCTTGTTTTTTTAACTCTCGTCACTCCATACGTAACAGATACAAAGGTACCTGGAAATTCGTTAGCCGGAAGGTTAAGGAATCGCGGAATCTTCGTCTGCATATCCCGTTTACGGGTATGTGGAAAATGGAAGCGGGTCTTGTAATGGGTACCAGGAGGGGGAGGGAGGGGGGGATGTGCTAAGAAATTACAGAAGGCATAACGCATTCCTACGGCTCTGTCGGGGGGGGATTGAAACGGGGTCACGTGTCCCAGGATGGGTCGTTGAACGTCCTGGCAAATTGGCCGATGACTGGCTCTACCGTTACGTTACGATTATGCGTGGTGCGTTTACGCCACCCTCGCATTTCAATTTAGTCGTCTGTGGCCTCGGGCGCCCCTGTCGCATCCCAGGATCAACCCTTGGGAGAAGAGAGCTTCGCCCCGGACGTTTCACGTAATCGCATCGCGTCTACTTTTATATCTGTCTCTTTGCGTCTGATAATCTTTAGGATGACTGTACGCCTTTGTGCGTGGGGGGGAGACCTTACAATTGGTATTAGGTTGTTTCTTTAGTCCCAGATCCCTGAGTGTCTCTTGCGTAACGCTCGTGTAACGGCGGAACGAAGATATCGTCGTAGGTCTTGTGCGTTATGATTTATAACGCTGATGGTACACGCGTGCTTTCCTTATTAAATGTCAGATGTGTCCGCGCATGCGCGCCCGTCACCTCGTGGAGCAGCGGGCAGGTATTTACGTTGCGCTTCTCCGTCTCTCGCGGCCAGAGGTCGGGATAACCAGTTTCTTTGACTTCTCTTTTGTCACCGCTCGTTTTACTTCTTTGCTCCCGCGTGTCTCGGACGACGATGATCTTCGGCTCTTTTACACTTGACATCGAGAAATTAATAGACGGTGCCGTCAGACTTCATTTAGAAAGCGAAGATTCTGCATCGCGACGTCTTCTCGGGCATGCGGGACTCTCGCTTACACACGTGTTACATCTCGAAGGACATTCGCCGGTACTGTAGCCTGTGACCTATTATGTAAACGGGGTGTTATGTACGACACTCGACCTATTCTCAAGGGTCTACGAAGTTTAGAGCCTCGATCGTCGAGTAAGTTGAAGATCTCGTTGAACCACGAGGTCACTTTTAGTGGTTTTAAGGTAAAATTAAAGGATGAAATTTTTGTAAGAATTTTTTTTTCCCACAGAACGCTGGCGAGCTCTTTCGGGAATATCAAAAGAAAATATATATATGTATATAGTGCAAACTGAGATTGCAGCAAGAGAATGGTGGCCGGACCGAGGTTAAAGTTTAGAGGCAACTTGGGAAGAGTCGTCTTAGTTTCACTTGAATTTGTTCGCTAGAAATGCCGGGTGAAATTCGTGCGCGGAATAACCTGTCGGGCAAGTAGATATCGGCAGGACTTTCGGATGCGGATGCTGACTTGTAAAAGAGATTAAGTCCGTGACAGTCTAAGATGTACCCGGGATACTGTCACGGTTGTCGATTTCTTCTTTATTAACCGTAAAAGCACCGAGGTCGTTTACCACCCTCGATGCGAGTCGCCGTATACGTCTTGAATGGCCAGGTCGACGCTGTTTCGGAAACTACCCCCCGAGAGCATTAAATGCCGAACAAAAGGGATGGGAGAATCGAAGGGTCTCTCAGGAGGAGGAAGCCTCCAATTCTCTTCCCCGTTCCCTTTCATCCATCAAGGGTTGTTTCTAGCACCCCCCCACCCCCGGAAGCCATCGGAATAAATAAATGGATTTTGGAAAAGTCTTCTGTGAAACAGCTCGACACGGAACACGTGTCTGATCTTTGAATCGTCCTGCAGTTTCTGGCTCGACTCTATGTTAATTACCGAACTACTCGGATAATCCCTTAATTACTTTGACGGGGTTAGCGAGTCTGTTCGGGGAAGGGTTGAACGGGCGTCGCGACGCTTTAGACCCCGTCTTCGAAAACGTTATCGAGCTTCTATCTGCATACGCTTATAATTACATTAACTCTCGGTCACGACGCCTGTCGTACATACTGTGCTCGTATAATTTTCAACGCAACCCTCAATTCAGGTATGGCGGTGAGGGTGTGGTGGAGGAGTCGATCCTGGTCGACGACACCCTCAACGGAAATCCTCGCTCGGCACCCTCGGCACGGCCGATATCCTCCTCTTTGGCCGATCGCGACTCCTCCTCCCTTGGGCCTATCGGTTCGTTACCTGCCGATCATTCCGATCGGTCCATCGAGAAACTCACAAAGTACGTACGGCGCACGTACGATTCAAATTCGTAACTTATTACTACTATCGCCTACTGTTGCTGTTGTTGTTGCTAGTGTTGCTGGCTGATCTAACGTACTAACGATATCGACGACCAATCTCATCCCGACTCACTGAGACGGCACATGGTCTTGCTTCCACGTAGTTCTGATGACGCCTCCATTCTTCTTCTGTCTGTACTCTACGCTCTGCCATCTGCTCTATACTTTCCTTGTACCGTAAATTCGTTCGCTTGCTAGAGAGCGCTTCTTCGTGGCCGTTCACTCGGGACGTCGTCCCCCTTTCTCAAATCGTTTCAGTTACTGCGAGAAGCCCGACAACGAGACGGAAATGGGTGGCGTGCCTCACGTCGAGGGTGGCCTGAACAGCGAACTCTACGCCGTTCCCGTGAAGCGGCGACAGCCGAAGGACCAGAAGAATTCATCGCTCCAGCAGCCGAGCACGGACAAGCCGCCGTCAAACGGCGACGTCGATACCGTCGACTCCGAGGACAAGGATGAAAATCTTCCGGCAGGTTGGGAAAAGCACGAGGGTATGTGACTAGTTTCTTTGAAATGCACTTTTTCAGATCTTTTTCTCGATTCGCGTATTATCTGGCGTCAGAGCGAACGGATGAATGCACTTTGTATACTTATAGGCGCACGTATGCGGGCCACTGTGCTCCGCACAAGCTTCGCGCAACAGGTGATGTAAATTTTCAATGATTTTAGACAATGACGGACCTTACTATTGGCACATCAAGAGCGGCACCATACAGAGGGAACCCCCAGAGGCACCTCTCAACTCCAAGACCGAGTCTCGCAGAAGTTTAGTCAAGGATAATGACAGCGTGAGTTATTATTTTTTTTTTTTCATACGATTTTATACGGTGCAACGAAGATACTGTAGGTTTACTTTTTCTTTCATTCTTTTCTAGATAAATAATTTTCACGCTCTCGGGGGTATGGTCAATACCGTCACTCGCAGCAATACCAGCTCGGCTCTTGATCAGGATCTGGAGAACAAGAGAAAAGAAGAGTTGGCGCTCAAGTGAGTCTTTGCTGTTATTTGTTACCCATTGAATCTTACATTGCTACGACGACTCTTTGGGTGGTCCGTTATATCCTTGTGAAACTTTGTAGGAGAAGAAGCTATCCTGCCAGAGCGGACTCCGAGGGTAGGGACAAACCAATAAGATTCGCAGTTCGATCTCTTGGATGGACCGAAATAGCGGAAGAGGATCTCACGCCGGAACGAAGTAGCAAAGCCGTCAACAAGTGTATCGTCGATCTTTCTCTCGGAAGAAACGATCTCCTGGACGTTGTTGGAAGATGGGGCGACGTGAGTATAGATCCACGTGATTGTATTTATTCTTACTTGTCATCTAGGCAGCTATAAGGCATTTTCACGTCTCTACGTTCTGAACAGGGCAAAGATCTTTTCATGGATCTGGACGAGGGCGCCCTCAAGCTCATAGATCCTGAAAACCTCACGGTACTCAATACTCAGCCTATTCATACGCTCAGGGTGTGGGGAGTGGGCCGAGATCACGGACGGTACGTTAACTACCTCTGTCCGAGTAAAGTCAGTGTTAAATAAATAAAAAGTTTTTAATGTCATATTTATCATGGTCGGTGTTATTTAAATTCGTAGAATTAACATTGCTCTTTTTTACATGCCTGGGTTCGCTGGTATGGATGCGGACACAAAACAGCGAGAGGTAATTTCATATTTTATAGCAGGCACGAATTCCCGCTTACCGGATCGATAAAAACACTCTCGTGCACGCATGTTATATACCTAGAGGCATATATACGTATATACGGCTAAGCCAACTTATATATGCAACTTGATGAGGAATTTCTGTGAGTGATGTCATATTTGTTTGGTTTTTATGTCCTGCGTAGGGATTTTGCGTACGTAGCGAGAGACAGATCGACCAGGAAGCACATGTGCCATGTTTTTCGCTGTGACATTCCCGCTCGCACAATAGCCAATACACTGAGGGACATATGCAAGAAGATCATGATCGAGAGATCGCTTCATCAGAATCTTGCAAAGCCTATCGATATCAATGGTAGAACCAGTCTAGCTACTAGGCCGACCAATTTACCTACGGAGCATCGACGTTTTCATAGAAACGGACAGGCTCTAGTCAGTAAGTAAATTTTTATTTGTCAGCTCGATGCGTTAGAGTCTTTAATGATTTTACGGTGTTAAATTATCCGCAGCACAATCATTCCCCACTCCTATGGAGGAGCCGAAGAAGGTACTACGTGCCCAATACTTGGGATCCATGCAAGTGTCCCAGGCTACGGGTATGGAGGTTTTGAATGACGCGATAGATCATATGGTGACGAACACTCCAATCAATCAGTGGAGAAACGTAAACGTGGCTGTGGCTCCCAGCATGATCTCTATACTGACGCCCAGCGTAAGTTTACTCGTCCGGACAATCAGCTTGCCCACTACCGTCACCTTACTTAATTAGTGATCGTTAACGCGCACGTTTCCCTCTCAGGACGACAAACTGATTACGGAGTGTCGGGTTCGCTATTTGTCATTCCTGGGGATCGGCCGTAACGTGAAGCAGTGCGCCTTCATTATGCACACAGCCCAGGACCTTTTTATCGCACATATTTTCAATTGCGAGCCCAGCAGTGGCGCCCTCTGCAAAACCATCGAAGCAGCATGCAAGGTGAGTTTCTAGGACGAGAGCCCCTTGCGGTGATATATGCAAAATTTAGTGACTATTCAACGTTTCGTTTCATTTATTCAATCCTTGTAGCTGAGGTACCAGAAGTGCCTGGATGCTCATCCCCAGGGATTCAGGAATGCCAGTAGCCTGAATACTCCAAGTGGTCGTGGATTGGGCGCCACCCTTAAGTCTCTCGTTGGTTCTCTCACCGGTCGACGAAACAAACAGGGCGAATCCTGAGACGAGGCGCTCTCGCTGCAGGTATGTCTAGGATATATTGAATAGAATTAATCAGAGGATGACTCGACTCTTTATCGAATTGCACTGTCATTTTAATGTCCAAAGGAACTGTGGCCGTTACCTGCCGAGCGAGAAGTGATAAGACACAGACATCTTCAGTCGCCATTGACCTTGAAATACTTTGGAGGTTCTCCACCGAGTGCATCCCTACGGTCGCTATTGTCACCGTCATTGGACACAAGACGCATTCAGCTGGCTCGCTGGGAGAGCAACCCCTAGATGAATGTCATCCTTGTCGGCCAAGTTGTGAATTCAACAAAGTGCTATATACAACACACAGCTAAATAATGGACTACGCTTAGTGTTAATATGTATGTTATATCGCAGTGTGTCTTGGTTTACGATGTCCCTTCACGAGATACGGATGTAATAGGTCAGAGTCGAGGGTCGGTTATTGAGATAATCAGGATAATCCTTGGTAACATGTGGTTCCAGGTTATAAGTGAACAAACTAGTCCTTCGTCTGGACAGAGTATATGTATATCACTCAACAGTAATCGAATACGCTAATTGACGAAGCCGCCGCGGGCAATGGGGTACAACTAACCGTCCTTCATTCTTTGGGGGATATGGGAATGTCAGCAACCATACCGGAAGTGACGATTTAGGCAACGTCATATCTTGTCAGTTCTAGAAGGTATATATTGAAATTACATACCTTCGTCGTTTGGTTACAAGATAGAAAAATGTCCTACTACCCACCCAATCCCCATTGGCAATCATTGGAGCGGCTACGAGGATAATGTTGATTCTGTTTTGCATGTACATACGTGGGATTGAGATATTTGATATAATACTCGAAGAATTTGGAAGTGTGTGTGTGTGTGAGAGAGAGAGAGAGAAAGTGCATGTACATACGTGGGATTGAGATATTTGATATAATACTCGAAGAATTTGGAAGTGTGTGTGTGTGTGAGAGAGAGAGAGAAAGAGAGAGAGAGAGAGAGAGAGATCGAGAATGTCGAATACGGTTACAAAGAGCGTGAGAATAAGCACGAATGGACAAAATACGGCGAGTCCACGAAGCAAAGGGAAAGAAAGCATATACGACGATATAAAGATGATAATGGGAACGAAGAGCAGCGTTCAATGGGAGAAATCAATTTAGCGTATCCACGAGGCATTTAAAAGAAGCTGTAGAGCTTAATACCTTAATATTACATGTATTCTCGAAGTGTACAGAATAGCGAGGGGAAAAATGTTTAACAAGACGAGTCGTCTCACACACGTAGAGGATAGGGATTTATTTTTTATGCCAAATAATAGGAGAGCTTGCGTTGAGGTGATATGACAAATATTAGCGCGACGCTCGCCGTCCTGCCGAGCGTCGCAACGTATCAACTTTGAAAGTGTGTATGTAAAAGGAAACTGCCGGATTATCTCTCGCGAGATTAACGCGCGGATTTCCATGCCTTTATGTTAACTCTGCACCAATTATCCCAGCCTGCAGAAATTATATTCCATGTTCCATATGTACCATCCTCGTACAACCCTTCTTATTACCCTACTACCCCTACCAGTATCCCCACAGTAAGCTGGCTCCCCCCTCCCGCCCCACGTAACTTAACCCACCACGCCAGCATGAAAGACAATGGCGTCGTTAAAAACGCGAGAGTGAACGAATATAATCATATTGTGGTAAACGATGCGGTTTTTACATATGCATTCAAAAGAAAAAAAAAAAAAACTATGTAACTTCTTCGTTTAATTCAACCTCATTGCATCTGGGATGCGTATGAAGGAACTCGTGTCGAACCCAACAATATGTAATATCGTAGGTTAGCGCTGATGAAAAAAAAAAAAAAACAGATAAATTCTCTACTTATGTCTAACGGAGATTATACGACAGAAAGGAAAAATAACTACCGCGAAGGACTCGAACGTTTTTGCGTATACGGGGTAAAAGAAAATATATGGCAATCGAGCCAGGTGACTTTAACGAGGGGAATACCACGCATTTATTACAATGAGCAACGCTACAGGTATTTTGAAAATATTCTACTGAGAGAAATAATAGAGGTGATGAATTTTTATTGTCGCAATGTCCTACGGCACTGCTGTGTTACTGTGTTTACGATATTGCGTTATCATTTGGCGCATATGTATATGTATATATATATACGGGGAAATCTGGAGAGACCAGGCACGTACGTAGTACGTATCCATATTGCAGCTTCATACTTACTATTCATACTATACGTGGTACGGCATTAAATGATATTGAAACGTAATTGACACGATAAACGAATAATATTTGCTACACTGTTGCTGGTTGCAGGGAATGATATAATAAAAGAAAATTGTATTATTGATAACGCCTAAATATGGTTATTGCAATTATTGTCACTGTCGTCTCGATCCCTGTTATTATTGACGCGCAACCGACACTTTTCGTGTCCTTTGTCTTTATCGCCGTCATAGAAATTCAAAACGTCACCGCCGTTCTCGCCCTCATCGTTACTTAAGATCCCGTTTGCATTTATTCATTAAGAGCTCTAAAATATCGAGAAGGAATACATTAGGTTAGTTTTACTTAGAAAATGGGATTTCGATTCGGTGCGATTTTTTTTATAATGATCTCTCTTTCGTTTCCATTTTTTTTGCTAAGAAACGAATGACGATTTGTAAGCGTGACGTGTCTTTTGTTTTACTTTATTTTTGTGTTATCCATAGTCTTTAGCCGAAAGATGATCGTTACTCAATCGAAATCCCTAGTATTTCTCAAATGCTCCTTTAATAATATCCCAATGTTCCTAAACGTCGCAATTACCCGAATTGTTCTAGCTAGAAGAGAGAAAAATTTAAGTGAGATGATACAAAAAAAAAAAATAAGAGTAATCGAAAAAGAGAATTAACCAACGGAAAGGATTCGTGCGAGTCGCGAAATTTTTGTCTTAAGTATTGCGAATTCTTAAGAGGGTGGAAAGTATGAGTGGCGACAAATGGGAGAAATGTAGGGAAAAAGAGGAGAAATGGGACGTGGCGACAGGCATTGTCGCCGCGTGAGGAGTGTCCTTTATGGACGAAATGGCTATCATTGCAGAGAACAAACTTGCGCGGGACCCAGGATGATGTTTCTATTTAAGATAGTTTAAAAGAAAACAAAAATCGAAGTGCGTGACTACGGAGTGTATGTTATCCGTGTGCTTGCAACGCTGACTGAATGAATCGAGGTGGTTGTGTTTTGCGTGTAATTGTTTGACAATGAGTATTAGAATATTGGAAACTGTATGAGAGCGAGCGAGCGAGAGAGCGAGCGAGAGAGCGAGCGAGAGAGCGAGAGAGAGAGAGAGAGAGAGAGAGAGAGAGAGAGAGAGAGAGAGAGAGAGAGAGAGAGAGAGAGAGAGAGAGAGAGAGAATCTGTATACAAGTTGCGAGCGAGTGCTTAGCTGACAAACGTAATTGAGAATCTTTACGCTGTAGAATAAGAGAACAAAAAAATGCTAAGCGAATCTAAAGTAACTTATAACTTAATAGATGATGAACGGATTACCTATTGTACATATTATAAAAACACGCTGAACGCCCGCCTTTATTATGAATTATCGTATAGTAATTAATCCTAGAGAGAAATATCTTAAAGCGACACCCAGTCCCACGTACGGATAAGAAATGAAAAAAAAAAGAAAAAAAAAAGAAGTGGTACACGTCTCATAATTCACATCTCACAGCTCACTCACGTTACCGTGTACACATTACATAATTTGGGACACGTATGTGAAAAACACAGACACACGTATCGCCTGATATTGGCTAGATGTTTAATGGAGGAAAAAAAAAATAGAAAAAAACTAAGGCACGACTTTTTCTATGCTTTTTCGTTCTCTCTGTGATTTCTTTCGTCTCGATTTTCACGGCGAGATGCAAAAAAAAAGAATCTCTCAAGGAAGAGACGAGAACGTGTAAGAACAATAACGATACGCTCGATTATATCCAACGTACGCGCATGACGCTCGTATGTAATTAAATGGATATTAATAAAAAAATAAAAGAAAAGCATTATGGAGAAAAAGCGAAATATATCAGAGTCAAGGCAATTTATTGGATTTATATAAATTCACGGGACACGCCATGCGGATCGGATTTTTTAATGCGAGAAGCATTAATCGTGCAAGATGTAAAATGATATTTCATTTGTGCGAGGTGCATGTACATAATATATCACTGTGCGTCTGGTCTAACGATTCCGTAATTAGATCAATGGAGGATGATTGCAAGTGTGGATTGTTAGGTGTGGATGATCTGGAGGGATGATGACGACGATGAAGGTACGGAAGGGATAGATAATGATAAAATTTGGTGATACGATGCAGAATAGACAGAAATGCAGACACGCCGCTCATAGCTTAACCGTCTTTCTTAGGTGTTGACATGTCGCCACAAAAAAAGGATTACGAAACGATAAAAAGAGAGAAACGAAACCACTTGTAACTGAAATATAGTCATAGCAATCCTACTATATTTACTGTGACATGTAATAACCCTAAAGCTACTGATATGATAGAGAAAAAAAAAAAAGTTGTTCTGCACAAACATTGATGCTTGATAATTATATAGTCTTTCAAAAGTACGTAGCCTCTGTACCCTTTTTATTATTGTTCTACGTCATTGTAATTGTGATCGTTACCGATATCATTGCCGGCGTCGCACATCCTCGCTACGACATCCCTCTATTCTGCTAAATGATAATGAATTATAGAATTAACTAAACTAATCACGTATACTATAAGTGTCTCTACCAACATTATATTTAATGTGTCTGGAATAGGCCGAAGCCTTTGGCTCGGTCGATTGACCATAGAGTCTTTTTTTCAAGCTAATGTAAAAGGAAGCCAAGAATTGTTTCGAGCGTTTGACCATGTATGGTTTTGACTTAAATTAAGGAAGTGTCATTGTAAGGGATGGAACGTCGCAGGGGTTAGTCTTTTATTACGTAAGTGCAGTAATAATCAGCGAGTAAGTTCTGGAACGTACTCGGCTACGCTTGGTCTTCGGCATTTCGGATTCCATCATTCGTATCCATGATGGACCTGTAGTTTTATTTACTTTGATACGAATATTCGCGATTATTGTCCCTCGATATATTTATTGATATAGCATACGGAGAATTGGTCCGGTCTGTTTTATAGTCAGAGATACTTATATGATATGAAAGCGACTCTCGGATACTTGTAACTATAGTACACACCATGCCTCTTGTGAATAAATGCCTCTTGGTTTCTTTTTGAAAGTTATTCTTTGAGATTCGATCATCGATTCACGCGTTCCGCGTATATCGGTGTGATGACACTTGTCTCTATGCCACTGACAGTACAGCACTGCTAGATGCTGTTAATCATCGTTCGTCATTAATGTCTACTTTGATGATATTGATGATTATGCTTGACCTCAATCACGCTGTTAATTAAGCAAGCTTGTGCTGTTATGGGTACTAGCTATTCTCAGGTAAGTTCTACATTACTTTTAATGACGAGGTAAAGTGCCCAATTTTTAATCGATTTTGACAAAATACACGTTTATGGTACATGAGGGAATTTATATAAATGAATGTTAACAAATCTTATAGGATGTCGAAGTTAGACTCACGAAGGTATCATTATGCATTATTTAATAATTCTGAAACTCTGGACACTTTACACTACTGTAAAATGATTCTTATATCCCAATGTGTTTTATACCTCATAGGATTTCTGAGTGTTGCGAGTCTATGCGAGCGGCTCGGAGTGCTATTGAGCATATCGACTCGTCGTCAGTCGTCTGGTGAGCAATGAATGTCTTCTATACTTGTACTCTAATAAGTGTGTGCAATTATATATATTTATGTGGCATACAAACATTTATTGCCGTGTTTATTTTAAAGTTATATAACATTCCCGGTCCCATTTTGCACGTCTCATTTCAAATTTTCAAAACTGTTAATGTTTTTGTCGTCTGATGGAGCGTGGTGCATATTCTGCGATATGTGATATTTATATGAAATAGTCGTATGAAGAATTCATCGGTAGCGCCATCTGTTGGGAAATAAACAAAGTACCACAGGAGTTCAAATTTCTATCGTAAGATGGCGCCATCGATAAATTTCCACGAACCTTTAAAGTTAGGTTTCCCACTTACCTGATACTTCTAATAGTTCAACACATAACGGGAGGAAGGCTCTACTCGTCTTAAAGATTCTAAGTTCCATGCTGAGTACCTATTACGATACAGCTGATTGTTAGAAGAGATTAAACCATAAGTGATTAACGCTATATAATAATTTTGTACAGTCATTTTTATTAGTGATAAATAAACTTACATTTTTTTTTACAATAACAATATACTCTCGTAACTCTCAGAAAATATAATATCTATCCGTAATTCGTAGATAATATCCGGTTATGATAATATTAATTTCGACACGTAAGGACAGAACGAATACAAAATGGTAATCGCGCAAAGGGCAAACGCGTAAACATGTATTCTATGGGCGTGTAGATATTTAATACACGTGCCGTTTAATTAAAAGACCTATCGCAGCGTGTCCTTACGTCTCGAAATTATAAAATGTCATCTTATAGAACGTGTACGCCTAATGTAATTTAGATGGGCGTAGAAACCATCGAGTGTTAGCTATTAGTTGTGAAGTAAGAGCACAGAGTCTAATTCACAATGATACTTATAGAATAAATGTAAAAAATGATGAGAAACTAAAGGAAAGAAATGAGGAGGTCGCGAAAATTTAATATTGAACCTTGAACCTCGTTCAAGAGAGCAAAGAGAAATTTTGATAGAGATAACAATGAAAATAATTATAAGACTGAAATTCATAGTACGAAGTGGACGTCGAGGTTCGAAGTACAATGAATTGTGGTCGCGACGAATTTACAATATTACCCAAACTCATATGGATCATAGGAATCCGCGTGATCTTGTTAGATCAGCTCGTACGATTGAAGTGACGTCACAGAAACATTGCGACGTCATGTCAATTGATTTACAATTAACGACAGACATGTCACAGTGACCAACGTTCGTCCGTTAGGTATAAAGCTAGTTGCCAGAGCTCAATGGAATTAAATTCTAATCAATTATGCGATCCAAGTGCTAGAGACTACAGGTAGCACGGTAGCTAGACTGCTTTTAAAAAGTTTCCAGCGTGGCATTTTGCAGCGTCATTGAATATGAGCCTTGATGAGTTCACGAATGAATTACCTCCTTCGCAAATGCCGATCAATCACTAAAATCATTCGTCATAGTACAATTATTAGGGCCAAGGGACCAGATTCAATGGTAGTTACACGATTAATGTAAATCCTCTTAAATACTAAGGAGTAATTAAAAGTAGACTCGTTAATCGGCAATTAATTGCAATAAATTATTCTCATCGCGTCTCACGAGTCCTGGAACGATTACGGCATTTTTCATGACCGCTAAAAAATGCCGGAACCTCGCACCTCTCAATCTACGACTCGCTACAGTAAGACGTGATAACGCTAGAATTTGAAAACAAGGAAACACAATGAGAATAATATATAACTGAGATACATGTATACGTCGAATAATCGGCACAGTCTGTACAGTACTAGTAGTAAATAGTAAGTAGTATAACTGAGCCTAGCTGAGCGTACCATAGTCATAATATAGTAAAGTGGCATTCGCATTAGCATATATAAGGGTTAACGATTTCTCTCTGTTAGTAGTTGTATTATATACATGCAATACAAAAAACGAGGATATCGGTTTGTCGCCGCCTTGAGGATTCTTCTCGTTCCTCCTAAGCAACTGTTTTTTAGTTTTTATCCATTCGTGGATCAAATTGTCTACTTCCATCGAAAAATCGTTAGTTCAATTCTAAAGATCGATTTTTTTATGGCCTAATGAAAGTGTCTACACGGAGGTTCGTGACAAAGCGATAAACTGACAGCAGGAGAAATCGAGCTCGAATGAATCACATAGATACTTAGCCCTTAATGCTAATAATAATTTAGGAATACAAAACGTGCCTATAATATAATTGTAATTATAATTAATATTTATATTTTTATGTATTTATGTTTATGTATAGTATATACAATATAATTTAAAGTAGGCGAAGGCAGTCAAAAGTCTCCCTCAATCTATAAACGTAGTATCACCACTGCAATTTACAAAAAAAAAAAAAAAAGAAAATTCGTGTATAGATGCCAGTTCGAAACTAGTATAAAAAGACCATATCGCGCAGTAGACATATTCAATCGCAAAATCAGTATAAAAGAAATCACATTGTTAGCTTTCCATCGTTGCTACGTACAAATATATATTATATATTTATTCGACCGAAATTAGTCTCGTCGTATAATCAAGCAAAGTGTACCTCTCGATATTCCACGATGATTAGATTATTTTTCAGGCTCGGTACACGCGTAACGCACCTGCCCAGTGTCTAACAGCTAACAAACGACAAACGCAAGCATTTCTTAAATTAATTATGACGTTTATCATCATCATTCATTCACCACTCCGTAGTTGAAAATCTTATACCATACTTCAAGCAATTGCAGATGAATTCATTGCCATTAAATTTCTCCTCCGGATTCTAACGTTAATATTAAATCGTCTATTGTCAATTCGATGTGAGTGGTAATCGCCGAGAGGAGAATCCGCACTGAATCCATTAATACATGAATATACGAATCGCCCGTAACGGCAATGATTCAGGTGATTCAATTGTCGCAAGTATAATAATCGCGAACCGTGCGAACATTTATTTTTTGAAAATTGAAATAGGATGACGAAGATCATCCCTTTGAGAAAGTTACGTAGTCACCTTGCCGCAACGTGCACCATGCGAATGGTTCCTCTCGCATTTTGCGACCTTTCCTTGCCACTTTGCCCGCAGCGAAGATTTCATGACTTTGCTACGCGTCTTAGCAATGCGTAGCTGACAACAAGCAGGAGGACTCAGGTCCCCGGTTGAAATGTCTCAAAGAACGGGCTCCTCGTCGGTTTCGCTGTCGTGGAGTTGCTGAGCGGATGTGAGTGGGGTGGACGTGAAGGAATTCGTCCTGGGACGACGGTGCCTCTTCTGCTGATTAATTTCGAGATTCTGCCCGCGTGCTATGATCAACGGTTGCAGGGCAGAGCGCAGAGACCAATAGAGACGTGGATACACCTGTTCTTGTTGAGCTATCAATTCTTTGTTACGTTCGAGTCTCTGTAAACGAAGAAACAATTTATTAATAAAATTGATTCCTTAGGCATGATACGTATATGATAAAAATATAAGGCTGCCCGATCAGAGATCTATAGACATACCTTAGGAGCATCTTTGCAGGTAGTGCAGGTATTTCGAACAACCGGAAGCTTCTTGCTTTCTGTAAATTGTCTGAGGGCCTTTTCGCGCACGTAGACAAACGGTCGAATGACTCGAAGATCTTGTTCCCTAATGTAATAGTGGGCTTTCATCGTTCTCAGTTTACCATTGTGAAAGACTGACATGAGGAAACTCTCGGTGAGATCATCCAAGTGCTGTCCCAGTGCGAGGACGTTGTAGCCATTGCGTTTAGCCACCGAGTACAATTTCGCCCTCGTGGACCTGCTACAGAAGCTGCAGGCTCGCGTGGTATGGGCCTCTTCTTCGGGACTCGTAGCACTTTGCTCCTCGTAGAAATAAGGAACGTTCAAAGCCTTCAAGTACGACATGGATCTAAGTGGATCGTATCCACCTCCATCCACGGTAGCCGCTCCTATTTCGAAATTGATTCCCTTCGATCGCACATAGAATCGATACTGATGAAGAGTGTGCAAAAGAGATAGCGAGTCCTTGCCTCCAGATAAACACACCATGATGCGATCGTTGTCTTTGATCATGTCAAACTCCTGCATAGCCTCTACTGCCGGTTTCCAAATGTTCTTCGGTGGACAATGCCACTGTGGAGACGAACCATCTTCTGGTGTAATACTCGCAACGGGCCTGTCGTCATCTTCCAAACCTGAATATTCGGACACAGCCTCTTCGTCCTCGGAGAGATCATTCACACGATTCTGTTTGCCGCCCCTGTTCCCGGTCATTCTGAGCCTTCGACAGCTGTTTGAATTTGACTCTGCACTGCTGCTCCTTCTCAACTCCGAATCGACGGATCTGTCATTTTCGTGAAACGACAGATTAATTCCGCTGTCTTGGGAACTCACGGAATTTATTGTGGAATAAATTTTTGGAAGAGTCTTTATATCTATCTCCGTACCGCTGTGTTCCTCGTCGTCTGTCTTACCTTCGGCCTCCCTTGGCTTTAACACGTATATCACTGTCTCATCCGATGAACACTCACTGGACATTTTACTCTCTTGAGAGAGTTCACTCAGCTTTCCGACAGCTCCAGTCTTGGGTAATATACGTTCAGGTGAACCACAGCCATTAGAAGATTTATCAGAGGCTGATGTATCCGGAGAAAATCTATGAAGTCCATCGACTGCGTTCACCATGCATCGTATTTCAGACTTGACCTCGCTGGCCATCTCCTTGGAAAATTCCATAAGGTACTCAGCAATGTCACTCGCAGAGAATGAATCATGTTTGTCCTCCGAGTGATTGTGACTGTGGCTCCTTGAGTGATGCTGTGGTGTATTCTCAGACGTGTTAGTCTCTGACAAGACGTCATCGACTTTCGAGATGACCTCACGAATTTCTGACTTTATCTCCGTAGCCAGTTCCTTAGTGACTTCCTTCAAGTAAGCATGCAGGTCCTCCGAGCTTTGAGAGAAGTTCGATACAGGTGAGGACCGTCCTACTCTCATGTCAGAATTGCTCGAGGAATTAACGTGTCCAAGAGAGTGCGTTGGACTGCCACTTTCAAACTCAAGGGAATTCAACTCAGTCTGACTGCTGCAGCTGCAGTGTCGATGCCGAGAAGTCGAATTGATTCCAAGACTGACCATCGTTTGAGGACTGAGAATAGGCGGAGAGGTGCCGCTACTACCAAGAGAATTACACCTCGTTCTTCCGGATATATTTTGTTCACTGGCTATTAGTTGAGTTACTGCTGGCGTACCTAGAATTGCTGGAGTGACGGCTTCCCCGACAGCAAATCTAACTGGCATCGGAGAACTGGGACAAGTCGCTGGTGATTTCTGTCCATTGACATTGTTGTTGCTACCGTATTCAGGAAGTGACAACTGGCTCGTTAATGGAGGCGAGATTGTAGACCTCAATGGCCTAGTGACTGTCATCGGTGGGTTATTCGAGTTGCCCGCTAGCGACTGTTTCTTCATGTCAGGAATAGTGGCGTTTACAGGTTTTGTAAGAACAGGCAGACTGTGATGCCTTGGCGAATTAGGTGTGACCGGTACGTTCCCGGTTCTGGGAATATCGCTATTCAGTCTCCTAATACCATTAGCCATTAATAAGCTGTTACTAGAACCATCGAAAGGTCCATAGCCCAATCTGTATGTGACAGGATTAAAGGGAACATCCTGTTTAACGTTCTGCGAATTGCCAAGAAGAAGGTCCTGGGCCTCGTTCGGCAAGATGAACCAGCGAAGTTGTTCAGTCTGTTCCGTGAAGGTAACACTGTGATCAATTTGCAATGGATACCTCTGAGCCATCTTTCTAGCCCTATTGAAGATGTTCCTCGCTGTCTGAAGACAATCGCTATAGCTCTGTGGAAATACACCTGGACCAGATACTCTCCTCTCAGACGTGTTCATCTTGCCGTCGGTGTATCTTATAGAACCGAGCCACTTGCGATCCTTGAAAACGCTGTTTGTGTGATGTCTCCATTCGCCAGTGTCAGGATTGAGGACATATTGCGGTAGAAGCTTCCATCCTTCGGTCGCTACCATTTTCAATGCCTCCAGGACAAAAGCAACCTCCGCTTCGGACATGAAATATGGAAATGCCAGTCTGGCAAATCCTGGCCGTAACATTTCTGTATTCGTATCATCTCTATTCATGCTGCATTCGCTGTAAGTAAAGCCACGTCATTAGCCAACGGGCCTAACTTAAAAATGGAAAAACCGGTAAAAATGTAAGAACAAGACTTACTCCTGAAGTAATATCGATTCGTATTCCTTTGCCAACTCCTCATTGATTCCCATAAGGTCGTGAGCGTATCTACCAGTGCAGGCGCAACCACCTCTAGCCTGGACTCCGAAAACGTCATTGAGAACGGCGCAGACGAAGTTATGATGTAGAAAAGTACCTCGCGGATGTCTGACCATAAATGAGAATATAGGCAGTCTTTTGACATTTTGCGAGGTGCTACCCAGTAGTATGAGTTCGGGAATAGTGCGCACATGTGCCAGTACTTGTCTGAAAATAAACAAAAAATAACATCTATGAGCACGAGCATCCTCTAACCTATGGAAGTAAGGATGTGATACTTAATTTATAATAAGGGGCGTGCACGTGTCTTTCGAAATAACGTGAATTTCAACGACGTCATTTTAAGAGAACGCGTACGCGTGTGGGCGCTGCATATTGTGTCTGTACGTGGTATAGATATATGTAAACAGGTCGCTGGCTCGAAGAGACGAGTAGAGGAAAGAAGAGATGGCAAGAAAGGGGGGAGAGACAGGCGCAGGTAAGTGAAGCGCGAAAATTTTACAGACTCTCAACGCGCGACGTTTCTTGGCAGAGGAGGCGATTTTTATTTCAGGATTTCGCCGAATTATGGTCGACACTCTGCACGATGTCATTTCATTTTTGTCCATTCCCTCCGTCGACGGTGACGGTGACACTTGAACACGGTAACAGGATGCCACCTGGATTCGATTGACTTACGTATTTCGAAAAGTTATTTTTAAGTCATCATCGCGAGGAGCGTTGTGACGAAAAAGAACCGTCGGAAGTCATCTCTCGTCGTTTGGGACCGTAACGTAGCAATAAAGACAAAAGAATAAAGTAAGATAAAAGAAGAAGGAAAAAAGAGACAAACGTACTGGCGGAGAAAAGGGATTAATAGTATCCAAGGGTGCATGACTTACTTTGATATTTTATCTTGTCGGGCGACAATAGCCTGAGGTGTTACGTTTTCCTTAAGCTGCACTGCCAATCCACAACGAATAGTCTCGACGACAGCGGCGGTGCCGCTCTCCTCTCTGAGTTCAGGATCGCGAAGATACCTATGAGAGTCTCTCATATCCTCAGGACTTATTTCCTCCCTTACGAGGGATCTCTTCATGACCAGGACACCAGGTGACTGGACGCCACCGATGAACTTGTGACCGGCGAATATTATCGCGTCTTTGTGCACGGTAGTTTCTCCCACTCCAGGTAAATGAGGGTTCATGTCCATCTGAACGTACGGCGCTGAAGGAAATATTCCGTTATAGTCTCGATTGAGAGGACTCGCGGACTCGTGGACTGGTACTGGATATCAGATATTCAGATACTCCGTACACACAGTCCGCATAGTAAGGACGGCTCCCAACTTACCAGCTGACGTGTAATCCCAAATACTGAGAGCACCGTGCTGATGAAGTAAAAGCGTCGTGGCGACGTCGTCAGCTAGTACGCCGGTTATACAGCTAGCAGCGTTGAAGCATCCTACCAATTGAGAACCTCCAGTGGCACGTTCCTTGGCCAGTCTTCTCTCAAGATCATTCAGGTCGAGAAAACCCTCGCGGGTCTCGGCAATGCGTACGACCTGTAGAATATAACAGAACGCAATGAGTGTATATCAAGGATGGAACGGCTCCGAGATAAAAGGAGAATAATAATGTAATAAAAGGGCCTGGGCGACGTTACTCACCTTGACACCATGCTCGCGCCACGGTCGTAGATTGACATGATGCTCGAAGGGACCGACAAAGACGACGGTGGGTCTCGATAGATCTAAGTGACGTAAAAGAGTACGTAGGGCTCCGGCGGTACCATGTCCAGTGAACAGGACAGCGTCTTGTTCACCAGCCCCAACAGCGTGTCTCACTATGTCTCTGGCCTCGTGTCTGAAATAGAGCATAAACATATCAGTCTAGGTATCGGGACGTAGTCGAGGGGTCGTACGAGCGAGTAGCTGGCTTTTGCCAAGAGCAGAGACTATTCGGAAGGGGTAGCAGCCTCTTTGTCCCTAGAGGACTGGCTGAGAGAGTAGGTGGTGTGCCGCGTGGATATTGATCTGGGATAGCGGGAGCCCAGCCTTCGTACCACCTACAAGCTCGGGCGCAACCTCTGCTTGCGCCAACCCCAATGCTGTTGCCCTACATAACGCCCTACGGTAAACAAGCTATGCGTGCTTCCAGACACGTTGCCATTCGGCTTCCTTGCAGTACTAGCCGGACAATGAGTTTTCTACCATAGATAAGATCCGCCCCTGATTATCATTAGCTTTGAATTTCAATTTCATAGCTGCGCCCCGTATACCTATACTTCGATACTTGGCTGTTCCCACGGCTTGCTCCTTAAGGACTATCGATTCCCAGGATTATACCACATCCGTTTCTGTATATCTTTCGAGAGCTTATTCTATTGCAGTCGTAGGTACCTGAAGAGGGACGACTGCAGACTGCATATCGACGTGGAGGCTCGTGTGTCCCCCAGACAAGGGAGAACTTCCCTTGTGATGTACTCCTCGAGGAATTGCAAAGACCTTCCGGACGCCGTGTAGTCGCAGTAGACCACTGAAACATAGAGAGGTACGTGTTATGATAAAAGCGAACTTTTAGATCAGTTTTGTTAACTAGCGGTAGACTAGTATCTGTCGAGTAAACATGTAGCTCTGGAGATATCGAGCATTTTAGGCTGTTATTTTGAAGCTATCGGTCAATGCCATTCTCGCTTTATATCACGAGTATACCCGGATGAGCGCAGAGTGAATATCGCCTGTCTGCTAGGAGACACACAATTCTGCCTATGCTTGAATTCCCGTTAGAAAGATCTCAATGAGAGGATCCGTGATTGCGTCAGTCCTATTGCAATTCGCACGCACTTGCGTCACCAACAACAAGAAATATTGGCCGAGTATCGGATCTGACAGAGACGGGAGTGTATAGATAGGGAAAAAAAAAATGACGGTACGGAGGGAAGTAAAGAGCGGAAGGGAACTAGCGAAAACCAGATGTGTAAATCGCAAGTTTATTCACAACCGTCAATTCATCCAGTTATATTGAAACAATTGAGCTCGAACGGCGAAGCAATAATAATTTTCACTCGTTCCGCGGGTTTAAATTATTTAAACCTTCAAGAGAATTTTCAAGTTGCATCAGCTGCCGAGGTTTATACTCGCTAACTGCTCGATACGTAATCAGACATTTTCTTTCGTGTCCGAAGTACTCCGTTTTCCTTTGCAATTTTTTTCCCCACCTTATTCCCCTTTTTTTCTCTTCGCCATACGCAACAACACGTCAGATCCTTTTTTTTTTCCTTTCTTTCCATCGGCATTTCTAAAACGATCCAGATCAATTCCGAACGATCATGGCGGTCGATCGTGGTTTATAAGGAAACGGCGGAGGCGAGCGATTGGAAGGTAATTGTGTCAGCCGGTTCGATTCGAGGCGAGGCAAGTCGACTGGACTCGAGTCAAACGCGGAATGGACTTCGCTCCGTGCAATTATCGAAAGCTACGAGTAACTCGCGAATTCGTTCAAGTATAAGAGAATCCGTCAGTCGTTTACGTCATGTAGGACAAAAGAGTCTTTTCAGAAAAGTTTTAAACAGTCAATGGTATAATTATAGGAGGATATTTAAAATCCAATCTCGTCATCGTTATCCCCTCCTTTACGCAGTACTGACGCGAGGGTTGAAAATCTCTGTAGTATTTTTTCACCTTGAAGAAGGGAACTTCATACCTGCTTGGTAATTCGATCTCGAAAGCCCAAGAGTGTATGCACAGCTCAGAGCAGAACCATAGTAACGAGAGGAATGGACGTTCCCGGCGAACCCAATGGCCTTGCGCAGTAGCAGCCATCGAAGAGTAAAGAAAGAAGGAGCGTAAACGTAGCATGGCGAGGAGGAGCACAGAGGAGAGAAGAGCGAGGTAGTAGCGAGTGCCAAAGGCATACAGCGAGAGAACATCGGAACACGCAGAACAGGAGAGCACGAGGACACGCGATCATACGAGGATGCTGGTCGTGCCCAAGTAAAAACGTCATTTGGCCGAGTCATCCGTTAGGTCTTCCTTTCTGAGAAAATAAAAAGTACCGCCTGCACGTACAGGATGCGCTTCTCGTGTGCCTACTATAGTCGATACACGAGTTCAATGTGTTTTTTTGACAGTTCGCAACTTTCAACGAATGACACGTGGATTTCCATAAAACTAGATAAATACACGGTAAAATAGAGAAATAAAAAATAATTGAGTGGAAACCTATGCACGTGTCGTATTTCGTAAAGAAAATTCTGTACAGAGCCACGTGTGGGCTCGTTAGAGACTTCCTTGTTTTTGATCTGTTAAAAAAAAGCACATTGAAATCGTAAACCGACTATAGGGGAAGAAGTTTATGCTTGGTTGAAGTGTCGCGGTACGAGACGTAAAGGTCCACGTTAAAAGATCGGCCTAATCTAAGCCGCTCGTTAACCCAATTGCGATCAATTACCGGTTTCGAGGAATATCGCTCTGCCAATCAAGGGAATAATAAAAAAAAGGAGTCCAGAAATTAATTCGCTGTCGGTTATCAAGTAAGGATCCTGGAAGGTCATTGATTAACCGTCGAGTTTCCCGTAGGCAGCTGTACGAGGATACGAAATCTAGATCGGTTCTAAGCTCCCAGAAAGCAACGGTTATTCCCACTGGTTTGCGTAGTTCGAGCTGCAGTGTGGATAATATTCGTATAGTTATCGGGATCGACACGATACAGAAGCGTCCAAGGAAAGCTCCCACGAAACACGCCACTTCCTGCGCTGTGCTATTCCTAGAGCTTGCGAGGGCCCCCTTCACCCTTGCACCCTCTCGTCGTACTCCTCAGCTCACCCAGGTGCGTCTCTATCGGGTCTGTTTCTGGGCATCGCAATGACGCTGTGGCGACTACCCGTCTCTCATGTCTGTCACCTACGTGTCCCAGATTTAAATTCGCTTTTATATTTCATCCGTCTTGCTTGAAGGAGATCGATTCCAGTCTTAGTGAATCGCACAGTAGGAGGGCTCAAGGTAGGTACGCAATAATGCCCCACAGGTGTTCCTTGCGAAATGCTCAGACTCGAGTCGACTAAAACTCGCCACGACACAGCCGGCAAAATTATACATGAGCATTGAAACAGCCAGACACATTGTCAGCGGCCGACATTATAGCGCGGAGTGTTTCTACCTTGGCTTACAATTAGTCTCTTGCGTTCAAACGCATGCGGAACGACTAGGATCATTGCGCAAGGCTAATTAATACAATTTATGTGAGCGATTAATGGGAATGAAAAACTATGCCTGTGCGGGCTATTGAACTGTGATTAATGACTGATTTAGCGAAAATCATTCAATCGCGTAATACTCGTGTTATTACATCTCGTAGTGCCATATCTCCGTGTGAATTTTGGTGAAGCTTTTGAAAAAGCTCGAACAGTTCAGATTTCGACCAATTTAATGAACATCAGAGTATTTAGTGCTTAACCCAGATTTCGAAGGTAGCCGGGCTTCACGCGAAGCGTCAATCGGCCTCGAACTCCGCTATACTGTCTAGTACTCGCTAAAAGGATTGCCTTAGGTGTATCTCAAGAAAGACGATCAGACTGTGTGACGTCCGCATTGATGGGGATAGTGAAAGAGATATGGACATAAAAGTTTTTCAAGATAATACCTGAGTATGATAATTACGTACGATTCTACGAACTTATAGATTAAGTCCGAGTAGATCCTTAGCAATCTGAACAAATCAGGGTCGTTCGGTTTAAAAGATAGTGTAGCTCCTTCGCTATATATACATATATAAAAGAGAGAACGTGCGTAAAAGGTGCATTCAAATGTAATAACGCGTTGCATCGAAAGCTACGTTAAACAAGCGACCAGTCGAGGAGCCTTGTCAGAGAGAAAACTTTTAGCTTGCATATCGCACAGCAGCTATTGCGTAACTTCGCTTTCCTCCCGGAACAGAACTTCAATCCAGTACCATATTTAAGACTACAAAGTTAAACACATACACTTCTTGGAATGCAGTATCTATAAATCTATAAATAACATTCTGTATTTTCTTTATATGACGTATGTATTTTTGTGACAGACTCGCCATCCATGTATGATATTCATTGAAATTGGTTGCTATGATATTATCATGAGATAAATCAACCTAAATCTTCTTGCCGACAAGGTCGGTCCTTGACTGCTTAACCGATAGAAGATCGACTGCATAATCTAGATGAAGTTGAAAAAAACAAAAACAAAATAACATGCTAACTCAAACGAAAAACAGATGTTGCGTGATTAATTTTGTGATTCCAAGAGACACACCGAGATATTTATATGAGTGAATAATGTTGGGAGAGAAAGCGAAGTAAAGAGAGACAGAGCGAGAAACGACGATAAGAGAGTAACTTGCAGGAGCCGAAATGTATAATAATGACGTATCCACCCACGCTCCCTCAGCCCTGCCCTTCGCCAATGAGCTTCTATTCTCGTTAGCTACAATATTTTTGCGTAGCCAGCAGTCTGCGCTTTACGTTTATAAATCCAGAAATAGAATACACTCTTGTGTGTCTCACTATTTTCTGTATACTATGTATATATCACATGCCGGAACTCTCGCTAAACGATCGTGTTAACATGCTAATAGTCATCATTGGATGCGAATCAGTCAGAGATCTATTGATATAACGGATCCACTTTGTTTGTTTCCACGATTTCAAGGAACGGCTCTCGGAATCGGTAACTTTCCACGTACGCTCCGAGACACGATATAGACAAGAGAAAATGGCGTATTATCGGAGAAAATCACAATTCTAATCCAACGGGAGTCACGTGTGCTTGCGTTCAAGGCTCCGTATCAGTGCGCAGATATCGGTTACGAGACAAACAACGTCTTATCAGTCGGACACTCCGGGGTGAAAATAAAGTGGTTGCTGTCACTCTTTTTTTGAGACTCGTTATTGATTTCGTTGTTTTTTTTTTCGTTTACGAACAAATGAATAATACGTAGAATGAAGTTTTTCAGCATCCTCCGTGTATCATGGGTGTGTTAAAAAACGACCTAGTATTCATGCAGTACGATATACAATATGTGTATATACATATATACATATATATATATACATAGTGCCTGATTTCATAAAAGTGATATTTCTCGTTAGGACGTGATGCTCGAGGCTTCCTGATTGCGAAAATCTCGAAAGGGGTATCTCCCGCTCGTGAGGGAAGTTAGTCGTTAATATAGCAGAGCGATCGAAAACTACGACCCAGTTACGAGTTCACTAGCCCGACATCGGCTATTCCTTGTTATTCAGCCAGCCCAGCCCCTCGTCGTTTACGCTACTTCACATGCGCTATTTCGTTACGGCAAATAGTCGTTCATTCTTCTGAAACAGATTCTGGACGTGGTATACGACTACAGTGAAAGTAATATACATATATAAGCAATAAAGGCACTTTACGATGGTTTCCAAGAATCTAATGTGTTTTTATACGAGATGAATGTGTATAAACTAAGTATTAAGTTTTGAGAACGTGACTTAATATATAAACATTATAGAGTGATACGAGCAA